AAAATATGCCCTTCGGCAGGATTTGAACCTGTATCCCACTTTGTATGAGAGACCACCGGTTGATCCGGTATGCTTCAGATTTTCTTTAAAAGCGCCCTTACTTGTTCACATTTATTCGAAATGTCTTATCTGCACAGTTTTTGATTCGTCTACTCAAATACAAGTATTCACTAATAACGTCTGAAGTGATTTACAGGGGGTTCTCGACCTACGTCGGAGAACCTTTCTTGCGGCGCGATGTAACCTGATTTTCAACGTAGGTCGGAACTCATCTACATAAGCGCCCACGAGTCTGGCTTCCGCCTGGGAACCATAATGAAAGGCAAAAAGTTCCCCCAAAATAACGACACAAACGAGTGATAGCGAATGTAGCACAGTCTAATATGGCGATGAAACAAAACCGTATTCCTCGAATAGCGCCGTGTGACGACGAATTATATCATTGGATATGGCGCCGTAACCACGTAACGCCGTTCGTCGGGTCCGACGTAACCCGAGGACCTTCTGTATATATATATATATATATATATATATATATATATATATATATAAGGCAGGTGTGTGTGTGTGTAATGAATACACGGTCGCAATTTTCGACGGATTTGCACCAAAATTTACATGCACATGCGCCAAGTTAGCGAGAAGGCCAAGACTGACTTTGCATTTTCCCAAATCGATTTTTTCATGCTTCTACGGCAGTTTTCATGTAGTTTGCGGCCATTTTGTACTGGCCAGAGTGAGAGGCAATAGCTGGCTGCCACGAATAGGCAGGAAGATTCTATTAGCCAGCGTGAGATCCAACAGCTGACTGACACGAATGTTAACTAGCATGCTAGCATGTAAAAAAAAACCCAAAACACCGATAGCTGCATTCGTCACAAGTGGGAAAAATTTAAATCTGCACGGCACTTTACTCCAATTGGCTCATTCGCTTGCTTAAATTCAACGTTGATTCTGATTCCGCAGAACTGGGTTGGGCGTGAAAAAGTATTTGTTGTTAACATTCTTTTTTCATTCGGTTTTTCCAGTTACGAGTCCTTTTTAAAGCTGATCGTTTGTGTTCATTTTGTTTAGTTTTTTTTCGTAACAGATTTAATTTAATTTAATTTAGTAGAGAGCTTCGAAAAAATTCGCAGTGTGAGAGAGGCAAGAAGTAAGGCATGTGGCAACATTAGCACGGCAAAGGGCACTCCTTTAAAGGCAAGGAAGGGCAAAAATATTTTAAGTCAAGTGATAGCGATTGCTGTACGAGTCGTACGATTTTTGAATCAAGCACGGGCAACGCCGGGCCATGCTGCTAGTATATATATATATATATATATATGTGTGTGTGTGTGTGTGTGTGTGTGTGTGTGTGTTTATGCTGTTATTTACCCGGATTAACAGACAACTGTTCATTTGTCTGAGGAAATATTTTCTAACCGTTTGGCTACAGAATTGTCTCATTTTGAATTCCTTCTGCGCCCAAATCTCAAGTGAAATTTCTACAAAATGATTGCTTAAACAAATCCACGGATATAGCATCGACAGCATTTAGTCCAACCCGAAAGAAATGAAACGTTTTCTGGTTTAATTTTCTAAATTTTTAAAAAGAAAATATTTCAAATGTACCTAAAGAATCTATATTAGCAACTAAATATTCTGTTTGTTTTTTTTTTTCTTTTAAGATGATACTTTGAGTAGAAGGTCGTTTTAGTGTGAGGTCACTTTCAGAAAGGATTCTTAGACAATTGAACTCGTAGTACATTTCAACATACCAAATCCCTCACTTCAGCTAATGATTTCTTGTAAAATTAAAAGAAAGTTTAAAATAGCGCAGTTATGCTTACCCGTATTTGCTTCGTTTCCGTTGGTAACAGAAGTAGCCAATCATAGCTAGGAAAAGAATGAATACAGCCAATCCAATACCACCTGCAATGGCAGCCACTAGCTGCCAAGAGACCTTCTTCTCTTGGCAAAAATCGCCTGAATAAATGTATGCCCATTCATCAACACACCTGAAATGTTTAAAAACTTCATGAAAAATCTATTCGTTGCTTGTAATTATTAAACTGTTCAAAATAAGAAGAAAAGCTAATATTAAATTATGAACAATACGTCCACTTCAACACTGAAGTGTTCGAAAATTTACACTGAATACTTTACTTTTTAAAATTTAAATCCTTTTTGTCCTAAAGTACAATTCAGGTGAAACGACCGACCTTTCTAAATATCGGCCTATTAGCCTTCTACCCCTTTTTTAGAAAATCAATATAGGACTTAATCAATGCAGAATTGGTTAAGCATCTCACATCACAGGGCTTTCTTTTAGACAAGCAATATGGATTTCATTTCTCTAGGTCAGTTGCTGATGTACTGACGATAGTTGTGGAAAGAGTCTATCTAGCTCGAGATAAGAATGGTGAAGCTTTGCACATCTCGAAAACTTCCAACAGGATTTGAAGTACAGGTCTTCTTCAAAATCTTACGGCGTCTTCGGACAAATTTTTGAATTGATCCAGTCTTTCTTATCAAATCGTGAAATGAAAGTTGTCCTGAACGGCCACTCTTCTAGATTTTGCACTAATTCAGGTGTCCCCCAGGTAACTATTCTTGGGGCCTACTTTGTTTTTAATTTTCATTAATGAGTTTCTCAATGGCATCAGCTCTCAGCTTGGTATCTACGCTGATGACACAACCATTTACTCTTGCCTCGATAGTAAAGCTTATCAGTCAGATAAGAATAAAACAGCCGATGTCCAAAACGACCTTCAGTCTGTTGTTAACTGGGACAAAGAATGACTTGTTAATTTTAATGTTTCCCAAATTAAACTGATTTCTGTTAATCATCTGTGAGATTCATTTTTGCCTTCCATCAGCATCGCTGATGATAATCTGCAGGAGAATGACCCGTTACGCCTTCTTGAGCTGACGTTCTCGGAAGACATGAAGTGGAAAGACTATATTGAATCCATTGCTAGGTCGGCTGGGAAAAGGTTGGTGCACTCTGTCGTGCTAGAGAATTTTTCTCTCCAGAATATACCTTACATATCTATAAGTCTACCATTCGTCCATGCTTAAAATATTGCTCTTCGCTATGATACGTAGACTTTATAAATTTAAGCGCAGTACTAGATTGGCGGTATGGTCTCATCATTTTATAATTGAGTCAGCGAGATGTAACCGTAAGATCTGTGTTAACAGTTACGTTTCTCGCACTGCGCGCTTGTGAAACTCCATTCTGGTTCCATGCTTCCGATCAACTTTAATATGCTAAAAATTGAAATGGAATGTCAATCGCTATCTGATTACTTTTCTTTTGATTTCGCTCCTTTGTAATGTTTCTGTTTTCTATTATTTCCACATCCAGTAATCCCTTGTGTCTTAGTGGCTTTATTGCCTTGCTTAGGGTGAACACAGTGAGGCCCGTGGAGTGGTTTTCAAAATAGTCCACATTTTCTGTTCATCAGAATAAATTCGGCAACTGATTGCGTACGAAAAAGTTAGTTTTTGTGGAAGCATGTCTTCATTCAACCAATATTTCTCCACCTTTTTATCTCATTAATCCTTTTAAATCTCCAAGGGTGAACATTCACTCCATCCACCCCCGTCCTCCCTCCTTTCCATGTATCTGTTTCTCTCTTTTACTTTTGTAGTTATTACCTTACTCTAAAACTTTGCTCTTACGCCGCACAGTTAATTTTTTTGCCATCCATGTAGCCCATGGGATTTTAAAATTGTGCACCCCTCTCCTAATGTCTTAACATTGGCAGCTTAACACATTCATTTTCTGCAGCTGGAAATATTTTAAACGTTACGCCAAAATTTCATTCAAGACACATTTGTAGCTTCTTCGTCAATATTCAGATATAGTTTTATTTTTCTTAACAATTTTCATTTTCTGTTGAACTACTGGGATGAGGCGATATAATTATTAATTGTGCTTGTCGCTGCCTTCATTAGTTCACACTACCGTTACACATTGCCAATACATCATAAATAATGGAAGAAGACAAAGACGCTACTTGGTTTCAGTAAGAAATAAATAAATAAAGAAAGAAAGGAAAATAAAAGTGTTTAAATCTGTGTAAGTGAAATTGAAAGATTTGTAACTTTCATTTGTACCCCCTTACTTCTTAAAATAACAACCAGAATTCATATTTATGACTGTTATTGTAATATTTTGTTAAGGTTCGTAAGTCGGGGAAGAGTTGATCTATGAAACCAATATAGCAGAAGTTGTATCAAGTGTTACCTACTTACCTATCCACCCAGACTGAGCAAGCGAATCCCTGGATGAAAAAAAAGAAAAAAAAAAAAGAAAACCCACCTATTTTATAATATTGGAAAAAGGGTTCGTGTTTTCATTTCTCGACGTGGCCCGTTTATCTTTCATGCAACGGGCTCTTTCCCTGATTTGGGTGCATATCAATGTGGCCGAGAATCGAAATGCAACTTGCCGGATTTACTATCCGGTCAGTGGAAATTTGGACGTGGGTCGCGTTGCTTGTTTACACAAGAACGACTAAACAGACCTGCTCTCATGGCAAATGGAAACGATGTTCCCAATAACTTAAAATTTACTGATACTTTTGCGAAATTACACAAATATTTCAATTGTAATTATTGATAGATTTTTAAAAAATAAATGAGATTTTTTAAAACTTTTTTTCTTTTAAAAAATCATGTACCTGTAGCCCGGAGACCTCCCAATGCATGTAAACTTACAAAATCTGAATCTGCTATTGATTCAAATCATAATTCCAACCTACCTGTAGATTTTGTTTGCATTTTAACCGAAATAGTCTTCCAAAGACAAATTCTACTCACTCGCAAAAAGGTTTCTTTTGCGTAAGGATAAGACAGGATCCTCCATTTTGACAAATTCCTGGTTGACATAAACTATAGCATTTTTCATCTCGACAGATGTAATTCTCATGGCATTGGTTGCTATATGTTGGATTACAGGGATCATTGTAATTCTGATTAGCTGAAACGAAAAGAATACAAATTGTTTTTCTTAGGCAAAAACAAATCCTTTTTCATTGGTCCACGTTTTCCAAAGAGGCAAACGAGATTATTGCACAAAGTGAAAATAAATCCACACAGTAATTAGGGCAAAAATAATTAGAAATTTATATATCTTAATTGATAATCATTTTTTAAATCATTTTATGCAATGAAACAGAAGTTACGATAAATAGGAAGTCATAGTGTTATGCTTACCGACTGGCATATTCAGTTATGGAATGATAGGTAATTTGATCAAAACTGAAATCTACTTAGAACTTGAATTAATTCATATGTAAGTTTCTCGCTGACAGAATTGATTTAAATGCTTTGAGATAATTTATAATGTTTGCTTGAACAAGTTTCTGTTTGGAAATACTTTCGAATTTTATCGACACCAGTAAAAATGATTACCTGTAGAATTTCTGAAGGCATTGACGTATTGCGTAATATCTTTCACGCTCCCCAAATCCGTTGGGGTATTGTTTAGGTTTCCCGTCGCTTTCGCGATACCATTTATGATATTATTGGCATCATTCTTCATGTCTATTCCGTTTATTTTCACCGTGTAATCTACAACTGTTGAACCATTTCTAAAAAGTAGAAAAATCAAAAATTCAAAAACTGGTTTTCATTTTGCCAACTCTTAGATTCATAAATTAAATCTAAAATTTTCATTAGCCTGTCGATTGGTTGTATGACATTAAGATTCTATTTTGGGATCTTCATGGCAAAAGAAATTATTTGGAAAAAACAAAAAACTATTAACCAGATTTTTGCATCTTTTTGTCTTTTGATAAACGCAGAAAGTGTTAAGTCACACATCAAAAGTTACCGGGGATCATTCTCTGGATCGATAAGCATTCGATCAGCTAGAAATTCATTTTATCAGACGAAAATTCATTTTATCAGACGAAAATTCATTTTATTAGCCTAAAATTTATTTCATCAGCCGAAAATTCATTCTATCAGTCGAAAATTCATTTCATAAGCCTAAAATTCATTTCAATAGCCGAAAAATCATTTCAATAGCTGAAAATTCATTCTATCTGCCGTAAATTCATTCTATCAACCGAAAATTCATTTCATCAGCCCAAAATTCATACCCTCAGCCGAAAATTCATTAAATCAGCCGAAAATTTATTCTATCTGCCGTAAATTCATTCTATCTGCCGTAAATTCATTCTATCAACCGAAAATTCATTCTATCAACCGAAAATTCATTTAATCAGCCGAAAATTAATTCTATCAGCCGAAAATTCATTTCATCATCCGAAAATTCATTCTATCAGAAAATTCATTTTAAATAAATAATGAATGTGTTTTACTTTTTAAAGCTGATTTTTTTTTCCCAAATTTAACTGAGATAAAAATCTTATCGCGGATGGGCAGGAGTTAGAAAGTTGTTCCTATTCCTTGTCTTGGGTGTTCACACTTCATCTTTTAATTGAACAGCAAATTTGTAATGTTTGAATATTGACAATATTCTGTAAATTACAAGTTGGTCGCCGTTATCTGCAATTTCACTTTCCATTATTCGCAGTTAATCCCAGAAAATCGTAAGTTTTTCTTTAATAGCGGGCCCCAAAGTACATGATTAGTGGATGCTGGCATTTCGGATTTGCCAAGAAGAAGATGCAAAGGGATTCTTCTAAGTGGAAAAAAAAAAAATGAAAATTCTCGATTTAATAATGAGCGAAAGAATCTTACACTCAGGTTGTTTTAAGCATTACTGCAAAAAAGGAACTTACCAACCCTATAACTTTTATTACAATCATCATCATCATCATTAGTCCCATGAATGGTTTTAGTCGTAGGGTTGTTGCGCAGCTGAGAACCTGACCAGCTCCTTTTACATGCTTCGAGGAGTATGCATTCATATATAATGTCTTCAGCAAAGTAGACCTGACGAAGCCCATCCCTCTCCAGGTCAAACCACACCCGATGTCTTCCGACTTGAAGTCTCACCGGTTACATGGCCGTTTCTCACATCGACGAGACCCCTCGCCTCCTGCCGTTGGCATCAGTCTAGGTACTCCCCTGTCTAGCCCTGGATATATGACCTGTAGTTCAGTCTGATGTGAATATTGATCCTGCAACTGGTCGAAACTCGCTGTCGTCACTGTCTCTCGGCTAAACTCTTCACTGGAGTGAACCGCGGTACCACTACACATGGAATTGCCCACATATTTCGATGCCAGAGGCGGTGAACTAAATGGCATTTGGTCACTTTTATTACATTATTTTGTTATAATTGTAACATTTTTATTTGCTATTATTGTTGATTTATAAAAAAAATGAAAAGCTAAAGTACCATACGTGATACACGCGTGGGTGAGACCATTTCGATTCATGACTGACTAGGCAGAAGACATTCCCTCAGTAAGCTGCTGTTTCTTTCTTCGTCAGACTGGTTGCCAACCAAGTGTCAAGTCTATGGTGGGATTGAGAAAAGATAAATTCATACTTTCCCTAAGGGTATTTTAAATAAATATAAGGAACCTCACTAATATTCGGACACACGATTCTACAATATCTTATTTTAAACCGTTATCTATTATTCCACATTACACCATTAATCTTTTATTTACATTGTTCGGACTATCATCCTCATCTTTGTTGCCATATTTATCACAACGTTTGTACGACCCGGCCTTCTTCAGGTGGCTGGAATGTCGAATTGAATGCTTTATTTCGCTCGCTGGGGTAGACTGTTCTAGTTCCACGTGCCATGTCTAATGGATGTCAGTTATTAGTTATCCCCTGTTAATTCCATTCTGAAAGTTCTTCACTGCCTTAACCAGGTATTGAACTCACAATCTTTTTGTCCTGTCACTGGATCTAACTAACGCCTTTATCCACTGTGTTAGTAAGAGCCAGTAACTGGACCCAAACATTGTGAGTTCAGTACCTGGTTAAGGCGGTGGAGAACTTGAAAAGGGGAATTAACAGAAGATAACTAATAACTGCCATCCATTAGACATGACACGTGGAACTAGAACAGTCTACGTCAGCGAGCGAAATAAAGGGTTCAGTTCGACATTCCAACCACCTGAAGAAGGTTGGAGCGTACAACGGCGGAAACGTTGTGATAAATATGGCGACAAAGATGAAGAAAATAGTCCGAATAATGTAAATAGTGTACATAATACCTCATCTCAGTAATATAGACAGATATTAATCTCTTACTCTTCCTAATAAAATCTAAGGTAAGAACGAATCTTTTATTGGCCACAAATTCTTTATTACAGTTCATTGTTACACTTGTTCTATTATATTTATTAGTTATTGATGTTAATCTCTTATTATGACGAATTTATAAATTAAACATTCAACACTTACTGAAATCCAGTGATATTGACGCCTCTAAAACCGGTGACATTCAGATATTGTTGTGTTAACTAAAAGAGATGATAAAAAGAAAATCAATGATAAAAGGTAAAGACGTGTTGTCATTTATTTTGGACATAGTATGGCGAAAAAGTAACATAAAATTGTTGGAGAATTTAGACTAAAAATGTCGAAGACGAGACGGAAAATGTAGAAGGCTTCACATTGAAAATGTCGATTTTTGACTGAAAATATCGAAGGCTTTACATTGAGAATGTTGAAGACTTTACACTGAAACTATCGAAGATTGTTGACTGAAAACGTCGAATACTTTACACTGTAAATGTTGAAGCCTTTCGATTGAAAATGTAGAAGGCTTTAGATTGAAAAGTTTTATATGAAAAATTTAGAAGTTGAAAAATTTACATAGAAATTGTCGAAAACTTTACATGGATAATGTGGAATGTTTTAACTTGAAAATGTTGATAAATTCAGGTAGAAGATGTTAATGGTTTTACATTGAAAATGTTGAAAACTTTCCAAGTACAATGTGGATGAGAAAGCCAATCCTCTTGATACTTGGAAGCTTCCTAAATAGGAAAAAAACCAGTGCAAATTCCCAAATTTAATTCTCTGGATTTGCATCAGTTACTATTTTCATACTACAAAATATTTTCTTTATTTTATTTGCGAACTTGGAGACCGAAATAGTTTTCTAACTAGCGCCATTGATAAAACGGCAGACTGCCAATTTCCGAAGCAAACAAAACGTTTTTCTTCTCCATATTTCACATGACCTTATGTCATACGAAGTCAATATTTTTAACTGAGAAAATTCAATAAAAAAAATTATTCAGAGAAAACAGCCAAAGTTACAATTATGTGTTTTCTGTTACTAAAAGGATAAAACTTTTTTTAAAATACTGATGATGTTAACCAAACCTTCATGTGACGGGGTATTTGTTCGAAATAAAAATTTGTTTTTATCGTTGACTACAAACAAAAAACAAAACAAAAACATGCTAACATTCCAAGGATGGCAACAAAATACAAAAGGCACATTACAGTCTGCTCAGGATAAAGGCAAACGGTAATAATGCGGAGAGTTAATATGCGCCTGCGCGTTATATTTGTTGGTATAATTGATGAAACTTTACTTACTACTTGTGTCATAGAATTTCGAGTTGCGATATAGAGTCGGCTGTTTGGGTTTTGAAGCTGAGAGTCGAAAGGTTTTTCAAATGATAAAAGCATTCTTAAACTGGCCACAGCGACATCTACAAAAATCCAGAATATTATTGAGGAGGACAAGAAAAAAAATGCCGACATTAAACGCAAACCAATACTTGTTCCATTGATAGAGAATCAAAACGTTGATATTTCAAAAATAAAAAAGACGCGGCATTATGGATCAGCTTAAAGGACGTTTCCAAAGTGAATTTGTGATAAACAAATCTCAAAATGGCTTCAATGATGGGTTTTATCAAAATACTAAATGAAATTTTAAAAAATGAGTTAAAATTTACAATTCTTCTCTATAATATTTTCCTCTAAAAGGAATCAGAAAATTGACAGCAAGGATCAGAGTTAAGTATCTGCTTAATGCCTAGTCTCACTTAGCTAGAATCAGTTACGTTTTCTGGCTGAGAACTCTATATAAGCGAGAAAGAATCGGGTAAAATGATGGGGAAGTCGAGGGGAGAAAACCACAGAGGTAAGAAAACTAGAGAAAAAAGCTAATGGGAAAGGAAAAAGTAAATGTACATATATAAGATATCGCACATTGCGTGCTGGTATAAATGGAATAGTGCTCAATGCAATATAGCAGAGATATTAAGCATATATTAATAAATATACATATTCCTAACTAGTAGCATGATTCGGAGTTCCATGTACAATGCATATAATGTAATAGCACCTGTGCATGTAATTCCTAGTCATGCTACCGGCCAGGAATATTATGTATATTTATTAATTAATTATATATATATATATATATATATATATATATATATATATATATATATATATTATTATTAATTAATGCATGTTTCATTAAATAATATAGGCAAGTTTTTGTCTATTTATTTTCAGTAAGTTCCTTTCATATTGTCTGATAAGCTTAATCACATTATCGTTGAAAGGCGAAAGGAAAACACTATATTGATACATGCTTAAATCCAATCTAAGCTTTCGGCTTATATAAGCCATTATCAAAGATGACAATTTCAATATATCAAACAACACACGGACGAAACAACAATGATAGTCCGTCCTTGCTGCATGAAAAATTTCAAGACAACGACAAATTCGTATATACGAGATGCGGAAGCGAAAATCGCGTCGCAGCTCGTGACGTCACACATGACGTGGTTTTCGCTTCCGCGTCTCGTATAAACGAGTTTGTCGTTGCTTTGAAAGTTTTCATGCAGCAAGTAGACTATCATTGTAAAAAAAAATCCTTGATAGAATAGCCGAATACATTCGGATATATCGAACATTTCAACAGTTTTTACACGCTTTATGTCCAAAAAAAAAAATACGTTTACGAATGCAAGAAAAATGGAATAAAAAGCTTAATCGGACTGCCTTATCAGTCGCTTTTAATAAAACTTGGATAAAAGAGGGATTGCTGCCCAAATACACAATTATATTTCACAATTTTCCTATTTTAAATTTCTGATGAATCTTAATTCTTACATTAATGACTGAATATGCTGATGGCGAGTTCTACGACAATAAATTATTCGTAAAAATTTCCCTATCATATCGTTAACAAATATAACGCAATAATAATGGTAAATATATCGTTATTTTCAGAAGTAAGGGGGTACAACTGAAAAGATTTGAAATTGACAACTTTTTCCATTTCACTGAAACAGACGTTAAATACTTTCATTTTTTCTTTTATTTTCTCGCTGAAGCCAAGTAGTGTCTCTGATATGTCTTTTGTCTTTACACGCGATCAAAACCGGAATAGTTCATTATTCACGAGGTATTGGCAGAGCGTACTGACCGTGCAAACTAATGAAAGGAGGGACCAGAACAATTATTATATGATATATATATATATATATATATATATATATATATATATATATGTGTGTGTGTGTGTGTGTGTGTGTGTGTATGTGTGTGTGTATGCTTTGTGTATCTGCATTTCCTATTCTTCTTTTACACATGATGTCAGTGCCCATTACTGTTAAATTTCGATAAAATTATGGTCGAGTAACGATGATTGGAAGGGATAAGGGTGCGAATAAGAAGATACATGTAAAGATTCTGAGAAGAGAACATCCATGAAAAAATGATTAATTTTGGCTGCCAGTATCTGTAGAATTTCGAAATTAATATTAATAACAACAATCATTGATTGTCCAATGGAATTCTTACAGAAAGAAAGACTATTAGGATAATGCCAAGAATTATATACTGAAGTGATGAACCCTTAGAGTCACAGATGAAACTGCATAATACCCGAGGCTGCTGAGTGTGGCCTTCTGTTCATGAATTAATTACAAGATATTAACATCTTATCTGAGAAAATACTGAAATAATAATATGAATAAAACAATATCTGATGAGATTTGTATCTCATTATGAAATCATTGCCACGACAGGAAAGTCTTATCCGCGACCCTTTTATCAAATTTGATTTCTAAGCACGACATAGATTCGTTAAATTCAGAAAACAAATGTATTTACCTAAATTTGGATCAACTACAGCTGCGATTGTGGTAGAGGAATCTGAAGTAATAACAGTTGAAATAGAATTTGTTGATGTCGATATTTGAAAAGTTGTATTCGTATTTACATCAGATGTTAAAGAGACCGTAGAGTTGCTTGTTTGCGATGTCAAACTGGGCGCAGATGAAGTAGTAAAAGAAGGTGCCATAGTTGGTGGCCCAGCTGACGCAGACGCCGCGTTGGTGCTCGATGACGTCGTGGCCGATGTTGACCGAGACGCTGTGGACGGCGTTGTCCCTGATGAGATGGTCGTCGTGCCTGCTGACGCAGACGCCGCGTTGGTGCTCGATGACGTCGTGGCCGATGTCGACCGAGACGCTGTGGACGGCGTTGTCCCTGATGAGATGGTCGTCGTACCTGCTGACGCAGACGCCGCGTTGGTGCTCGATGACGTCGTGGCCGATGCCGACCGAGACGCTGTGGACGGCATTGTCCCTGATGAGATGGTCGTCGTTCCTGCTGACGCAGACGCAGCGTTGGTGCTCGATGACGTCGTGGCCGATGCCGACCGAGACGCTGTGGACGGCGTTGTCCCTGATGAGATGGTCGTCGTGCCTGCTGACGCAGACGCCGCGTTGGTGCTCGATGACGTCGTGGCCGATGTCGACCGAGACGCTGTGGACGGCGTTGTCCCTGATGAGATGGTCGTCGTGCCTGCTGACGCAGACGCCGCGTTGGTGCTCAATGACGTCGTGGCCGATGTCGACCGAGACGCTGTGGACGGCGTTGTCCCTGATGAGATGGTCGTCGTGCCTGCTGACGCAGACGCCGCGTTGGTGCTCGATGACGTCGTGGCCGATGTCGACCGAGACGCTGTGGACGGCGTTGTCCCTGATGAGATGGTCGTCGTGCCTGCTGATGCAGACGCCGCGTTGGTGCCCGATGACGTCGTGGCCGATGTTGACCGAGACGCTGTGGACGGCGTTGTCCCTGATGAGATGGTCGTCGTGCCTGCTGACGCAGACGCCGCGTTGGTGCTCGATGACGTCGTGGCCGATGTTGACCGAGACGCTGTGGACGGCGTTGTCCCTGATGAGATGGTCGTCGTGCCTGCTGACGCAGACGCCGCGTTGGTGCTTGATGACGTCGTGGCCGATGTTGACTGAGACGTTGTAGACGGCGATGTGGATATTGTCCCTGTTGCAATAATCGCCGCGCCTGCAGACGTAGACGCTGTGTTGGCTCTTGACGTCGTGGCCGATGTTGACTGAGACGCTGTGGAAAGCGATGTCCCCGTTGAGATGGTCATCGTGCCTGTCGTCGCAGAGCCTTGAGACGCTGTGGACATTGTTCCTGCTGAGGTGGTCGTCGCGCCTGCCGACGTAGACGCTGTGTTGGTGCTCGATGGGGTTGTGGCTGATGTTGACCGAGACGCTGCGGACGGCGATGTGGACATTGTCCCTGTAGAGGTGATCGACGTACCTGCAGACGTAGACGCTGTGTTGGTGCTCGATAACGTTGTGGTCGATGGTGACTGAGACGCTGTAGATGACGATGACCCAGTTGATATGGTCGTCATGCTTGCTGACGCAGACGTTGGGTTAGAGCTCGATAACGTCGTGACCGATGTTGACTGAGACGCTGTGGACGGCGATGTGGACATTGTCCCTGTTGGGGTGATCGCTGCGCCTGCAGACGTAGACGCTGCGTTGGTGCTCGATGACGTGGTGGCTGATGTTGATGGAGCTGTAGACGCTGTCATTGTTGAGATGGTAGTAGTGCCTATTGACGCAGATGCTGTGTTAGTGCTCGATGACGTCGGGGCCGATGTTGACGGAGATGCTGTTATTGTTGAAGCTCTCACTGTGGTGCTCGTTGTCCCTGTGGAAGATGAGGCTGCGTTCGTGCTCGATGTAGTTGTAGACCCTGCTGAAGTAGACGCTGTTGTGACACTCGAGGTAATCATTGTTGTTGCTGTTGTGACGCTCGACGAAATCTGGCTCTCTACTGTGGCTGAAAAGTGAGATGTTACAATTATTCAGAAACTTCCAATTTTGCAAGAAGAATTATAGTGCGAAGAAATGGTCGAAATGAAAAACACATTTGTATCTTGTGAAACATTTAAAACAAGTAGAAAGCATAGACAATGGTCGAAATGAAAAACACATTTGTATCTGGTGAAACATTTAAAACAAGTAGAAAGCATAGACAATGGTCGAAATGAAATTGCCATTCTTTGTTTTTGAAATATTTAGAAATAATGAACCGAATTGAACCATTTTGTCTTATTGTAGACTTTCTTTATGAAGTTTCATATTTTGGCTTTCTTTTTTGAAATGGTGAATATATTCTAATTAAATTTTCTTTACAACCCGTGAGTAATTTGATCCTCTAATTTTTTGTCGCTGTATCATTTTATGGTTTTAGGTTTTATCCAGCCATACTGAATAGCATTTTCTATGAGAATCCAGCCTAACATTGTTGTATTCGATTGTAGGGAAATAATGAATTCTATGAAAATGGCACCGAACGACAATACTAGTTGTTAATGTCATTTCTTTGTTGTAAGAATTGACCAAATTGAAAAAGGGGTCCTATTTTCATGAAAGTTCAACGAACTGTTGATAATTGTTTGATAGTTTGTCAAATTGGTATCTACTTTATATTTTGTTTTTGTAAGAGTCAATTTTTTTAAATTGCAAAAGCGCGTTTTGCGTTTCATTTTGAAAATGAACCTGACATCAGCAAATTTCTATCGATTCCATTTCACAAGAAAAAGTAGCCGTTTAAGATGTCAAGACGCAATAAAAGATTTTATGCAATTTTTTCGGACTAATTATCTCGTCTTTATGGTTCGATTTTATTCACCACGTTTTGCCCTTTTGTCGAATGCCAGTTTTTGTTGTTGAATTTTATTTTAAAGGATCATACGTATCCTTCCCCCCAACCGGATACACGCTACATCCCGCCTTTGCGTCTGTCTTTTTGGGGAATTGTATCCTTTCGACCCTTGTATTGAACTTTGTATATATTCAGATAACCATTTGGGTTAATTTTATGGAATTCTAGGTTCATCGTCTCAACTTTTGATTAACGTTAGGAACAATTAACCTATTGAATAAAAAAAGATACAATAATAAATTCACCTCGTCGAACAAACGAAGTTCAGGTAAAAGATTTCATTTCACGACGATTATTTCTATATCGTTCAGTATGTAATATTTGTAAAAATGGCGTTTTTTTTTTATATAAGTTTTGAATTTTAAAAGAATTATTGTCAAACTTCTGTTCGTATGTGTTATTTTTCGGGCAAATTCCGATCGGCATCAAGTGAAATTGGTTCTTTTTGTCTTGATAATTGAAGAAGCAAATGTTTACAAAATCATTCAAGCCATTCGAATGTTAACAATATTTTGTAATGCCTATTAACATCAACAAACAAATCAGACAAGGTAAAAGCAAGAAAAGAAAAACAGTTTACTTACCAAGGTTAAATATCAAAAGTGCTGTCACAACCTGCCATATCTGACCTTGCCTTTTCGATCCTAAAACGAAAACCGAACAAAAGTTTTTATCTGTACGCGTCTACACAAAACTTGAATGTCACACAAGGTCGAAGTCGGACAGCAGACCCCTAACCCCCACGCGCACATGAACAAGGTTAAGCAACAAGGTTTTCTTAGGTCGAAAATTTCGACAAGTGGGAAAAAGAGGAAAAGTTACGGACAAAGAATAAGAAATGCAGATAATAATTTTATGGACGCATTAAAAGTAACATCCCAGCAGTGAGAAAAGAAGAAAGAGAGAGAGAGAGAGAGAGAGAGAGAGAGAGAGAGAGAGAGAGCAGTAGTTGAAGCAGATACGCGCTTCCATTAGATGTGATTTCATACCACGAAGAACTCCTGACTCATGCCTTATTACAGACTATTAGATAAATTGAGCAGAGTTCCCTGATGAAATTGCAAAGTGAAAGAATTGAAAGTCTCTGTATAACGAGAGAGAGAGAGAGAGAGAGAGAGAGAGAGAGAGAGAGAGAGAGAGGAGTGCTTCTTCAGTATTCCGTAATTTGCTGCCTGAAGAAATTTCGACTCCAACTTGGAAACAAAGAAGAAAGTGTCACGAAATGAGACTATGAGGTAATGGTTGTTAGCCTGCACGATCCTTATATGAAAAAGTGTTCCTGTACAAATCTTAGTTATATAAATCTTGTTGATTTACACAACTTTCTTTTCTTTTTATTTTGTTGTTTTATAACCTCGTCCCGACACCAATTCAGCGCTATCTGGTGACGATTTGATCCTCGCTTGACTTGTGATCAAAACAAACACAACGTGGGGCAGGGAGAGGCTTGGATCGAAGTGAACAACTTCACGGTTAACAGCAGGATTCGATTGCGGACACAACGGTTACCGAGGACGGGACGGCGTTGTGGTGTAGCGCAGGGGCCAGGACGCCCCGCGGCGTTATAACATTGCGCACGAATATTAATTTAACATGTGGATGGATGATATAATCGCAGACGAAAATAACAAAACCAAGAAGAAGGCCTCGCAAAAAAGAAAAAAAAACATTAAAAAATGGAAGGTAACAGATAAAATAGCTATAGGCCAAGTTATAAAAACACCAGAATTCATGGCGACTGCTGATAACAGATGGTTTTCCATCGTTAAAGCCCAATTTCGTTTCAGAAATGTTACCACAAATAACACAAAATTCTATACTATGATAGCATCACTTCCAGCAGATATGGTAGCTAATGATATGACACCTTTCATTTTAAAATCCACAAATTACGAGGAACTAAAGAAAACAATTATTAAGGTACATGAGAGAATGAAGCCATGTTGCTCGATAAATTGATGTCCACTGCTACTATAAAAGGACGACTTTCAGCCTAACTACAGGAAATGCTGGCAATTGCTTAACGCCTAGGCATCAGCGATGATATAGTTCTTGCAAGCATAGCCCCAGTCAACTGTCCCGGTTACAGCAACCCCTCACCACAAAAAAAAAAAAAAAAAAAAAAATAGGTAAATTAGCGGACGAGTTAATACCGTTAATTCATAACGCCTCTGTTTTCGTTTGAAAAATTCCTATTTAGCTAACGGGAATAAAATTAAAATTAAACGCTTCAGTCAAGCAGATCTGGAAATGGGAATACCGAGCCTTCAGTCAAGCAGATCTGGAGATTGGAAGCCCGAGTCTTCAATCAAGCAGATCTGGAGATTGGAATACTGAGTCTTCAGTCAAGCAGATCTGGAGATTGGAATACCGAGCCTTCAGTCAAGCAGATCTGGAGATTGGTATCCCGAGTCTTCAATCAAGCAGATCTGGAGATTGGAATCCTGAGCCTTCAGCCAAGCAGATCTGGAGATTGGAATACCGAGCCTTCAGTCAAGCAGATCTGGAGATTGGAGATTTTGAAGAGCGCGGAACCACCTCTTAATTCCTGTTGTTCCTCGGTCAACCTGATCCGGGTGCTAGCACCTGTAACACCCACCAAAAATATAGTCTATGAAAGTATAAAAATACATTTTTATAGTAAAAATACCGGCAGTACATTTTTATATATAAAGATCGACAATATATGACCAGCAATACATTATTTGAAGGCGTACAATTACGTTCAAACTATTTCGTTGAAACCATAAAATTGTATCCAGAATATTTAGATTTCGGTATTAAATAACTCATAGAGGTGTCGATATGTCGCTAAACAAAACCAAACAAACTGGATTTAGTCTGTCGATACTGTCTTTATCTTTTATAAACGGAATCTCGATAGATTTTACGCCAGTTCCAATATTTTGCTAACGGGAATAAAATTAAAATTAAATGCAGATCTGGAGATTGGAACCCCGAGTCTTCAGTCAAGCAGATCTGGAGATTGGAATCCTGAACTTTGGATGTGATTATTTCTTGGACTTTCGTAATCGTAGATATTACTAATCGATTCCTAGGATTTCACTTCCCGAATCACTTCATTATTGACTGCCAAAACAAAAACTATCTTTGATCAAGTCACAGGAAGAAAAAAAATCTGAAAACAGCCACGTCTACAATTAATACAATGCCGAATCACTTCGAAGCTCTTCAGTGCATCGAGAACTTGATAAGACAAATATCCTGATATCGTTTCCCCTCATAGGAACCCAAAGAATAAATACTGCGATGTGCATCATCGCATAGATCCGGGTAGTCAAGACCCATTGTACGCGAAAAAATTGCCCGCTGATAAATATAACACAGCACAAGCGGAACTTAAAAACCTACAGAGCAATGGAATAATATCTCCCTCGGACAGTGAATGGGCGTGTCCATTGCATATGACCCCGGAAAAAGATTGTATTTATCGTTGTTGTTAAGATTAACGCCCCTTAAACAACATCACTATCTTATTCCAAACCCCAACTTCTTTTCTTCCAAACTAGCCAACAAAACGCAGTCAGTTATGTGCCATGCGTGATACACGCTTAGGCGATCATGTATCTTTTTTCCCGCAGTAGGTTGCCATTTCTTTCTGCGGTAGACCAGTTGCCATCCAAGGCTATAGAAACCGGTCTGTCCTGCTACTTACCCATAGCTGGGGGGAGAAGAAGAGGATTCATATCTTTCCCAAGGGTATTAGCACGTAAGTGAATGTAATGGAATTCGAACTCGCCTCTCCGATTCTTCAATGCGAGCCGCTATCTATTACTTCCCCCACCAACAAAACTAACTTTACTAAATTGACCTTGTGTCGGCATACCATCAAATAAAAATGTACCAGGATGGCGTTGCTAAAATTGCTGTCGTCTCACCACTCGGACCTAAATATGAATAAATGCTTTTCTATTTGAAAAATGAAACAGCTACTTTTCAGCAATTCATGGGCTAAATATTCAAAGACGTAAACTTCATTTTAGTCTGTATTGACGATATTTTAATTTTCAGTTACGATGAATAAGACGTCAACGCTGTGTTCAAGATCAAAAGTGACAATAACTTAAAAGTATCTTGTTATGAATAATCAAAAGTTGTCTCCCCTTGTTTTGTTCTCTCTCTCTCTCTCTCTCTCCTCTTTGAGAGAACTATTTATGTTTACTGGGACTATAAAAGGACACTATACGCGAACCTTGTATCCTCAGTTGAATAAAAGCTTTCTTAAAGCCTACATCTGCGTACTTTTGTCATTACATATCTATTGCAGAATCAGAGTTTGATGTAAAATCCCTAGATTTCCTCGGCTGTAAGACGTTAGCGCAGATGGTATCAAACCTACTACCAATAAAACTAGCGAATTAAAATATTTCCCTATCCGAAGGATACTAAATACTTTTGCCGATTCTTACACATGATAGGGCTTTACGGAAAATTAATCCCCAACTTTGTAGAACTTATTTTACCGCTGACAAAGAAAATGAGAACTGCTACAAAAAGTTCAATTGTACTTACTGAAAAAGAAATGAAAACCTTTAATAACATCATTAATATTCTAAATAAATTTCCTTTACTAGCACACACTCAACTTAGTCGTACTACTTACCAATTAGTAGTAAATACATTGTAGGTGCAATATAACATCAAATTATAAATGAAAATCCTATACCTGTAAGATTTTTTCTAAAAAATGCTTACCTAAACTCAAATTAAATATTCAAAATTCGATCGTGATTTGCTCGCAGTATATTTATCAGTACTACACTTTCGTCACATGGTCACATTGGTTAGAACGTTCGCATGAACCCGGGTTCGAATCTCACCCTGGTCGTTTTGTCAGGAAGGATGTTATCGGTGTTATCGGACAGCGTGCGGCACCTTTGAAAAGTGCCTGAAAAACCCTACCACGGGTTGACCCAAGTCTAGGGAGTGGAATTGGGTAGACGGAATCCTTGGGGGGCGTCGATAGCTGTGCTAGTTAGAAGTCATCGTGGCCGAGGGCTTGAGCGTGCTGGTCTTCTTCAAATTATTGTCAACGCTAGATAACTCGCTCTTTCCCCAGAAACTGTAACTAAGGTCTGCTCAACATAGTTGCAGTATAAACCACAGGTGGGTTCTGCGGTTTTTTTTTCAACAAATGCGCCTGAGCAAGCGTCTCAGTAGGGATTGGCTAGCTGCCCTTGTAGACGGGTACCCACGAATGGCCAACTATATACTTTTGTCATATCAGAGGAGGTCTACCGTTATTACTGTTTACTGATCACAGTCCTAACTCAGCTAAGTCCGATAAACAACAACGTCAATAAGCTTTGTGAACTGAATTTATATCCAATATACAAACGCATTACACGTCAACATAATATAGTGGCCAATTCTTTATTGTCCCGGCCTTTGCAGTACAAAGTGACTTTTGTGATTTGCCAGCATTTGTTGAGGCAGAAGCCGGTGATTCGTTTCCAAACTTTTTAAAAAAAGAAAAAGAAGATTACTCTCGCAGGAGATACACAATTCGCGTTAAGCGTTATCTCCACGTCTTGTCCCATGTCTTTTATTCCGGTTAAGTTACGTAGAGCTATTTCCAACAATATCTATTTAATAGCTCATCCCGCTATTAAGTCATCGATTAAATTGATCAAAGGACAATTTTTCTGGCCTAATATGGACAAAACCATAAAAAAAATCTTCTGTGAATCATGCGAATCATGTCAACAGTCGTATATGTAATGGGCAGGGGTAATGACCGAAACTGCAGCACTAAGACAGGGGGCGTGTTGACAGGAGGTTTGAATTAAAAATTTCCCTACCCCCTCCAGACTAGTTGCCCCAACCAAAGCTAGAAAATCTTGTCTACCTTACTATATTACACATCGGTGAAAGAAACGAGCTCATGCCGTTCTCAAGGGTATTAGTCCGTTGTGATCGTAACAGTCCCGGATGTAATTTGTGAGTGGATTTCTGATTCCATTTTCTGTATCGATAATTGATCTGACAAACCTTAGAGAAGGCTTCATTTCTAAAGCAGTCGGAAAACAATCATTTTTAGTCTGAATTTCATTTTGCTCCTGAAAAACGACTAATGAAGAAAAGCCATGAAAGACGATTGTCCCAGTAAGAATGATTTCCTTCATTACATTGTAGGTTATATTTTGCAATGATCTATCCATGGAAAACGGTATTATGTTGCATGTGGCTAAATACTGGCTGTAGCATGTACTTAAATTTACTCGGATCTGTCGGCGGATTTGTTTTCTCGTCAATGTTATACGAGATACTAACAGGAATATTCTGAGAAATTATTTTTAAAATCTTTAACACACAACAAAATGCATATTTGTGTGTTTGTGCGCGTGCACACACACGCACCACAAACAGACATACACACAATAATAAACATACATGTATTATGAGTTTTTACTCACCAAGGTTCATGCTTTTTTAGCTTGTGTTGACAGACGTTAGTTTCTTGATTTCTGTGTTTTCTGAAAATAGAAGGAAACATTTTTATCATAAAATATAAAATTAGCGAATATACCCACCCTAAGAACGGAAGAAAGTTTTTCAACAATCGACATCAAAATCAAGCAGACTGAAATTTAACTATATGTAAAGTGTTATAACAGACGATAGCAACTGCGATACAGAAATTGGATTAGCTGAAGATGCCTTCCAGAAGTTAAACAAAGTATTAAGAAACAAGAAAAAGTTCTCTGGAAACAAACAAAAACAAAAATAGTGCTAAACTGCTTTGTCATATCAATCTTCCTAATTGACTGTGAATGCTGGACAGTTTCGTCATAGATGAAGAGGACATTTGAGACCTAAGAGATGTGATTCTATAGAAGAATACGGAGAACAACATGGAAGTTTTAAGGAAAATGCAAACAAAAATGCATTTAGAATTAGAAAGAGTCAACTGAAATACTAGGGTGCATAACGAGAAAAGAAGGCTTGGAGAATCTGGCACTCATAGTGAAGGCCAGAAGAGTAGAAACATAATTATGACACAACTAAATGTTAGTCTCAGAGTTATGCAACAATTCACACGGTTCCTTTTTTCTTTACTTCTTTTTCAAATATGAGAGACAAAAAGAACAAAAAAATTACGACTATCCTACACGTAATCCAGCAATCTTCCACAAGCGTTTACTGCTGGTGGTCCACTGTCGGACCACCGGCGTGTTCCTCTGGGCAATGTTACTATGGCGAACCGCTAGTGGCCCACCGGTGGCTGCGACCAGCGGCTTGCGTGTGGGGCGTGCGTCCTGCTGTTTTTCAACGAAACAAAGCAGGAAGTATTTTCACTTTCTCGTTTTATCGAAGTGCTATATAATATTTTTCGCCCGCATTTCTGTTTTTATTTATGAAATTGGAAACGTGAAAGCTCCACCTGTGAATATTTTGCAATGTCCAACAATTTCGGTTGTAATACAAAAGCTGCCATCCTTACAAAACAAATATCCTGTTGTGGGAAGGCAACCAAACAATGAACCATTAAAATTAATGTAAATTCATCCCCAAGTCGATATAGCTATCAGCACAAACACACATGCGACATCTGCTCAATGTTTTTGATAAAAGATTACTAACAGTTTAATGTTTCCACGCGTACATATTAAATATTAAGTTTGTTTTTCCCCTTTACTCCACGCTAAAAGCTAACACCTATAATTCTAAAAGAAATTTTTGTGAAGTGGTTTAATGTTGAAAAATGTGTCACTGAATTCCGAAGAGGCATTGGAACAGCAAAAGATGCCTTCCAAATGCTAAGCAGAATACTAAGAAACAGGAAAATTTCGTTTGAAACAAAGAAACAAAGCGTGATGAACTGCTGTGTGATATCAGTCCTCCAATTCTGCAATAAAAGCTGGACAATTTTCTCATAGATGAAGAAGAGACATGAGACAACATCGAGATGGCTCTACAGAAGGATGATGAGAATGTTATTATCGGAACATGTGAGCAAAGAGGAAGTTTTAAGGAAAAAGGATGCTTATACTTAAAGAGACAAATGAAATTTCTGCGACACATAATGAAGAAAGAGGGCTTGGAAAATATGACACTTACAGGACATAGTGATAGCAAGAAGGGCAAGAGGGAAACTGCAAATAAGTTACCTAACAAGTCTGGAGGGAAGAATAGAATGTGGGATGAATAGTCAAAGATTGTTAAGATAGGAAATTGTGAAGAGTCAAGATCGCCCACGTCCTGACGAGAGATGGCGCATAAAAGAAGAGGAAAATCTAAAAAAGGAAAAAGAAAAGGGAAAAAAACAAACAAACAAAATACACAATGTTACCCACCACGAAAACGAAATCTATATCCTCTAACCCTGGTTGGGGGTGAGGCGAATAAGAAATTTCATTCAACATTTACATTTTCAATGATTATGAAATTTTTTTATCTAGTTGAAAGTACGAAATGCTCGCTTGTAAACTTTTGACAGCATTAACCACTTCTTTGGTAAAAGTTACAGAAATCTTTATTGATATGGAAGCCAACTAAAAGAATATACAAGACTGACCGTTGGAGAGAAGTGTTTAAGTATTTTGATTCTCAAATATAAAAATAAATTGCTGTTAAAATTTGACCTTAAACAAAAACTACGAATTGAGTTTCTTACCAGTGTGAAAATTAAACGCAAGTCATATTTTTTTCTTTTTTACGTTTCTGCATTTTAAAATTATGAACGATTGGGAGGAGGGGGGCGAAAAAAACCCTTTCAATATTTACATTCAAGCTGAGGTGTATTTGTGGCTTTTTATACATTTTACGTAAAACAACCTTTAAGAGCTGAACTATAGCAAATACTTCATGTCGGGATTTTTGTGATGAGGAATTGCCATTATTATATACCCTTCCAATCGGACAAGTATCATCATCTTGGTTGTTATATTCACAGAGTTTCGGCCAATCTACTCTCCGAACTTCAGCTGTCTATCGTACTTGGTAAACTCCTCAGAATTTTGAAACGAACTATTTGTTTTTGTTTGTCATTTTACTTAATTCTAAATGTGATTGTTTTTTCCTGCGGTATTTAGAAAGAAAAAAAATATCACAACCGCATACATCAGGAAATGCCCCTGACATTTTACATTTTAGTAGGTGGAATTTAACTCTTGCTGATGAAAGGGAAGACGGAAAAATATTTGTATTTTGAAAAAAATATTTGTATTTGAAAAGTTGTTCAAAATCTATGAAGCAGAGTGACGTAAACATTTGAATGAAAATAAATCATTGGACTAAAAAAAATTAAATTTTTAAATCTACTAATTGTTCATTGTTTGATTTATTATTGTTACCTACATTTTATGATGACATGAAAGATATGCACCCCAAAATAATTTCTTCTTTTTACAATTAAATTTGTGTTATTTTGCAATTAAAACCTAAATGTAAACTTCAAAGATGATTAAATTATTACTTGTTAAAACATAGAACAACAAAAAAATCTGCAAATTAAAATATTTTGAGAAATAGAAATTAAAAAAAAATGATACATTTTTTTATCTGCGAATATTATCCATAGAAATTACGTACCTTAAAACACTATATCACAAACGTCGTTTTCGTTCTGCTAAAAAAGGAAGTTACTGATATAGATAGCCAAAGTCAAATGATTCGTTGTACAGCGCAGATTACTAATAATACTTTTTATCTGCCTTGTGAATGAAAAGATCTACAACATTTTTTATTTACAATATCCTGAGGATTTTTTTATGCGTCATATATATAGATATATCTAATTAAACGGGTGATTAGTTATTTTAATAATGTCTGTGTTGTTATCGGCGAAATCATGTTTCGTAAGACAATCCCATTCCGTTTTCTTTAACATTTTATCAAATACTTTTCGGTATTTACTAAGTTGAGGTAAAAACAATCAAAAGTGTGTGCAGCATTCATCTTACTTACAAGTTGGAATGATTTACTCAACTTAAAAATCAGTATTCAAAATTTTACCTAGTCTCTGACATCTGCTTCTGGGACCTGCTTGAAATATGCAATTGTCCCAATCGCAAGACATAGTCTGACACAAGGTTACCATAGTGCGAAATATAGTGAGGCGTTGAATTGGCGAACTAGGGTCAGTACGGTGGAGTAATGGGTAGCTGCTCAAACTGAGGAATCAGAGAGCCGAGTTCGAATACCACTCGAATCCATTACATTCACTTATGTGATAATACCCTTGGGAAAGGTATGAATCCTCTTCTTCTCCACTAGCTATGGGTAAATAGCAGGACAGACTAGGTTCTATAGCCTTGGATGGCAATTGGTCTACCGCAGAAAGAAATGGCAACCTACTGCGGGAAAAAAATCTGCCTTGTCAGTCATGTATCGAAAGATACAGGATCACCTAATCGAGTATCACGTATGACATATAACTGATTTGTAAAAATTGAAAGGATTTATGAAATTACTTCAGCAAAGATTAGAGAAGTAATTAACATTTTTATGGAAGGGCGGGCACACTCTACAAATTCTTGGTGTAATTTTTATTTTTATAGAAGGTGAACACATCGTTATATTTAACGTGGGTCGTATGTGGCACAAGGCCGAGTTTATCGTGGATTCTCCGAGCCCGTAGGCTCGGCCAAAAATATTCCAGTCGAACCCGTATAAACGTGTTCAGAGCCTGTCTACCTTCCCGGACGAAACTTTATCCTTCGGCAAAGCCTCGTCCGGTTTCCTCACTCTCTCGGCAGAGAGGTTGACAGAAATGAACGCTTTGTAGCACCGTTCGCAAGGTGAACACACCATACACCATTATAGGTGCACTTTCCATTTTTATAGAAGGGTGGACAAAATCCTACAAATTAAAGGAGTAACATCTATTTTTATGGAAGGGTGGACACACCCAGCAAATTATAGTATTAGTTTCCATTTTTATGGAAGTGGGGACACACTGTACAAAATAAAATATTAGTTTCTATTTTTATAAAACGACGGACATAACATACAAATTGGCTGTTACCAAGCAATTCTGGACTACTAACTGAAATCATTATTTAAATAAATAATTCAAATTCTTTAAGACAGTCTTGAAGATGTAAAAACAATTTAATAGAATTTTAACAGCGTTTGTCTTGTCTCTTTATTTTCACTTCTCTTTATCTGAGAATGTTCATTGAATAAATTATCTTCTACTTCTAAGAATCTTGAATTTTTTACCCTGTACACACGTCTGCAGTTTGCTTTATCAGTTCAACTTAGATATTAAATCCCTGTGAATCTATGTCCGACAATAAAAATAATGGTAATCTTAGCCGTTTCATTATAAGGAAACATTAAAATATTTAAAGAGCTAAAGAAAAAAAAAGTTTTTCTTTACATGCTTGTATGTGAACGGAGAAATCCACACCTCTTTTCCACTCGCTGATTGAACGTACCCATCTCCCCACAGCCATAGGTTTAGGATTAGGATAATATAT